TTATCACGTAGGCATAAGTTCGAAATTTTTATCGTGCTCGCGAAGACTCATCGTGCATTGTGTCGTACTTATAGCGAATTCGTAGGCGTTAAATAATGTTTCCTTGGCCAATTTACTGTTAGTGCTTGTTCGATATAACCTGCACCAGCCAACTCGAACCGCATATTTACGAGCGGGCTGTAAAGCTCGCTTAGGCGTTGCACTATTTGCTACGATAAATTGGAGCACATTTGTCTGGAACTCTCGGTTCCCCGGAATGATCGTCCTTACCGTTGACGATAACGATCGTCTGTTAAAATAATTTACGGTATCGGTGTAGGAGTAAAACATTCTTTCGAGCAGTTTCTTTTCCTTCGCGTTGTCGAAGAATCGTTTTCGAGAAAATTTATTTCGTCAACGTCTCTTGCCAGAATGTATCTCGTACAGAATAAAACTGACGGTGAAATTTAATTTAGTTCGACTAACTAATGAAATATTAACGTTTGATTGATATCGATTGGGTAAATTAGTTAATTTTACATTACATAGTATAATACTTGATTTAACATAATTTAGCACTAATTACTCATGCATTTACTTATTGATTATGCATTTAATACATAACGATTTTATTTCATTGTTAAATACACATTTGTAAATACTTAATTTAATTAGATTAGCATACAATTACTATAGTCATCTGTAAATCAGACGACACCGTTTAAAGATTAAAACTATAATATAATATAATACTTTATACAATTTTTGTAATACGTTGAAACTTTTTTTCTAAAAATTTACCACGATGATCTAGAATAAAAAGGAGGAAAGAAAGCTCCAACTATTCGTTGCAAAAATCGCGTAGCCAATGTACAAAACGATTCCCAATTGTACTTCTCACAAAGTACAATTACATTCCGATTCATCGTTGAACTACATTCTAAATTCCAACAGATGCTGGCAAAGTAACGCAAAGAATTACGCGATTAATTACGAATTGTTTCAAAACTCGTTCCACTTTGTCATCAATGAATGGCGTTTACACACATGATGCATACGTATCCACGCGCCAAGGTTCACTCGCGATGGAAAGGTCAGTGTAGAGCCACTGGTTAATAATCCCTCGATTATTTCAACAACTGGAAACAGTGATTCATTCGCGGATCGTTCGGAACGTGGGCCGATAGTAAAGTGTGTGGCAATCGTGTCGTAAGCGATTTTCCACGATGAATCAACGATCTCTGCACGCGACGCGCGTAAAGAAAAAAAAAAAAACCATCGAAACTACGAAATTAGTCGGCGATTCTTTCTCGCGATTGACGTCACCGTCCCGTTTCGCAGCCTCTCCACTTCGCTCGCGATCAGCAATATCGACAGGTTAATCCGTTAGGCGTCGCTTCAATAACTCTGTCGTGTCGCAACTATCGAGTAACAGGCAGGTATGCTAACCACCATCGTGCCCACTCGTGACGTTTTCATTAGACGGTCGGAAGAGGCCGATGATAATCGGTCTCGATCGAACGGTTAGAACAGGACTCGAAACCGTTCCGAGCGCTGTGGTTATTTTAATAAGTTGAATGCGTTGCTTTGATACTTGCAATCCTCTTAGCATCCGAAGCTGATTGGCCTCGTAATGAAAGCGGCGTCAAACTTTAACTCCCCCTCTTCTTTTGTTGATTTCGTAAAAAAATTAAGATTAACCTGTTGCGCTGGAACGACGTGGGGAACTTTTTGTCCCAAAATTGTAATACTATAATATATCTAATACTATATAATATAGATTGTATACCATAAAATTACAATATACTACAATATATCTAATACTATATAATATAAATTGTAATACTATTTTATTACTCAGTTGTAAGTGTATTTAAGGAAAAAAAAAAAAAAAAATAGGCAAAACGAATAATGAATTCATTACTTTTCAATCATTTCTATCCAGTGGTATATCATACCGACGAGTTCAGAAAGAAAGCGACGGATTATTGTACACGGTTTGGTCACTCGTTACGGTCCGCAATCGGCGTTAAGATCCTGATCCGAAACCGTTTAAATTTCTAAAAAGTCCGAACCTATGTTTCTTGCGCATGTTGAACATTGTTCTGAAAGCTTCGCTAACAGATTAGGTTTGCACTCTGGATTTTTTTCTCTCAACTCCTCTCGCAACACGTATTTTCACATTATTATTTTTGGATATCGGTGGATTTAATGTGATTTTTTTTTTTTTTTTTTATATTGTCGATATAAGAATTGTTTCGTTATATCATTATTTCCAGAGAGCTTCAAGTTCTGTTGCTAGTATATTTTTCTACTTCTCCGTTTTTCTCGTTTTGTTTGTTTGTAGCATCAAGTATTGCTACATGTGTCTGATGCAAATATAATTCTGTCTATTACATCTAGTCTGTTTTGTATCACGACTTCTTAATTTCTTAATTTACAATAATTTAATAATTTAATAATTTCTATAATTTCTTAATTATTAAATTATTTCTGTTTTGTTCTTTATGAGATTACTGATGTATCACTTTGCCTACCGTGTATAATCTATTACACATTCGTGTTAACAATTTGCATCCACAAGTTGCATCCGTAATCTATCGTTTTACGAAAATTATTGGCATTTTCTACGTCTACCACCCGAGATCGTTACTACCGCCGTTTTCATAGAAAACAGGTCCCTCTTAAAAATAAAGAAAAGATATTGTTTATGGAGAAATATAGTAGCAGAGCGATAAAGAGTCAATGCGTTTCGTGACCATTTTTCCAAGCAGCTCGACGTCATTACCGTGACACAGTGGTTCGAGAGTAAGCAGCTACCTTCGATCTTAAACCTCGCTTGCTTTATTCCCACCGGTTGAAAAGTAATAGGCTCGCGTTTATTACCTCGTAATTTCTATCGGAAACGTCAGAAAACCGATATGGAGGAGGCATTCGCGGGAATGTGTCTACCTTCTTGTGGAGAGGTCGAAAACGCCACGGTCGTAATCATTGTTGGCCGTTGGTGCACACGTTTCTGCAACAACTTATTGCTACAAAGTGGTCCACGATTCAAAAGGAGAAGTGGACGGGTTTTCTGATAGCGAAGGAACCCGGGTTCTCGCCGCGCGGGGCATTAGCGACACACAGTATAACCTGTTTCAGTGATCTAAGCCGGTTATCACAACCGTTCCCGTTTGCTTTTGCCGGGCATAATTTACGTTTTCCTGAAAACATCTACTGGATACCGGGCCCATTAAGAGCTAACCGCTGGTTTGCCGACGATTATGCTTCGCTATCAATTATAACCAACCTCTGCTGTCTCTCTCTCTGCTTTTATTTTTCACATTTCTATTACTTTCCTCTCTCCTCTTTTCTCTCTTTCTACGATTCGTTCTTTCTCGTGGATCAGGTCTCGCGAGCTTTGATTTATTAAAAGATCCTGAGAGAGAGAGAGAGCCGTGGAAAATTAGTGAAACTGATATCGAGTCGAACTTTGCGAACAAATTGAAGTAATTATTAGTATAATTATAAATACGATTAATGATGATATATAATATAATAATAATTATAAGTATAATTAATTAATTATGGACGCAAGGGGAGTATTTCCAGATGTAATCTCGAAATTCTTCTTTTCCTTGCAGTTTATTTAGGGTAGTTGGGACGTTGATTGCGCATTACGCAAACGTAATTGCTTGTTCGATCGGGGAAAAATGCAGAGCGATGAAATCTCTTGCGAAAGAAATCGACGCGACATTCAAATGAATCTCCTCGGGCCCGATTATATGGGAGCGCGCGCAATATGCTCGTTAGGTATCCTAAACGGGCGAAACGGGGTCAAAGACGATCGATGTTACCTATAGGATCGATTAAATTGAAAATTATACGTGATGAAACACGCAATTGCGTTGATGCGTATAAATTGTCTTCAATAATCTATAACGTACGATTATCTTACATTCTTACAGTATAATTTTCAGTGTTTTATAATGTGTTCTAACATTCTACTCAATAATGAACATCTTCATTGTTCATTTCTATGACGACACATATGCTGTCTTTAATCCTAATTTATATCGATGAAAAGTTTGAATAGAAACTTTGTAAAATACAGTATATGATTCTCGTTTATTGCAATATGTAACGTTACTAAATGAGGATATTATTATTGCAGGACTGTAATTTATTTAACTGAATCAACAACAAGGTGCATCCTTATTTATTAGCTGTACTTTTATAGATCTATCGGAAACACTTTATTTACATTTTATCGCTGAAAGGCTACGAGTTTGAACTTTATAAATAGAAAACTTTATTACAATTCACGATTATTTCCTTGCAATAAATGAATTCGTGAAAATAAGACTTTTGCAAATTATGGTCTAATCGCTGGATACGGAAATCCTATTGTATTCTAATATTTTAAAGATCTTCCAACATCTAATCTCACCACATACTCTTGATAATTTCCTTACGAACGTTCATCGTTACCTAGCACAATTAAAAGTTGAATCAAGTATGAAATCGTAATTCTAACTCTCAAGAGTTGAACAATAATTCCCTTGCCTAAAGTATTTTAGTATTGTATAAGAAATGAACAACAAACACGTCTGTCGTTCTATAGTGTAACCAAAAAATGTGCAAGAATTGACATCTAGCGAAATGTTAAACCACTAGCATAAAACTGTATAAATCTACCACTGCATTACGCTCGCTGTTGAGAAATAATTAACGTTACGAGCGTAAAAAATATCCAGATGCCATATATGTATAGGCAATGATAATAAATATGGTATCAAATGTGCCAAATGCTTTTTGATTTAAATGCAACACAATGTTTGCAAGGTTTTACATTTTTTTAAACAAATATTATCCTCATATTATAAACCTCATATTATCAGATGACATACTGTTAGACCAAAAAGTTAGGCGCAAAGCAAGTATAGTAAGAATTCAGCTATGGGCCAAAAGTGACCCGGTGTCGGCTCGCTCGTTTACGTTGGCTAATCGCGGGTTAAATTACACTGATTCAAACATACCCGGGTAACCCTCTGGGATGACTATCTCCGGCCCCACTTTGACATCGTGCCGATAACGATGGATCAACAGGGTGGCGGTAACCCGAAGCGATCTCTGTTGCTGTTTGTACAGCAACACCGGCCTGCCGCCGGTACCTTCGAGCCTGACCACTCTCGGTAAGGAGAATCGATCGAGGAACTCGCGGAGGGGCATGTAGCCGCCGCTCGAGCCGGAACTACCCTCGGCCGTCGCTTCTCTCGAACTCGGCAGCGACTTCGGCAACGAAGGCACCTCCTTGCTGGACATCGTCGAAAATTCACCGTTCGACGACATTGTTCCACACCACATCTACGTAATATACGTATTATCCCTCACTGATTTCGTCTAACCTCGTCTAGCACAACGTTCTTCCGTTTGTTCTCGGCCGATCGTGCGACGACACGATCCTGCATCGTTGAACGTGGACAAACTCGGGCACGATGATTAACAAGAGTTTCGCCAAGTATCATTGACGAAGAGATAGACACTTTGATAAGTCTCTTCGGAGCTTGCATTCTGCAGAGTGGCAGATCGTCGAATCTCAGCCCCGAGAGAGCGCGACGACCTGGTCATTGCCAGCACTGCTCGATAGAGACTGGCTGTCAATTAAGCAACAGGTTCGGCAACACTTTCTTCGATTATGTCACTCGGGGTCAGCACGTACACTGTCACTTTCCACCTAGGCGTTGCAGAGAAGCTAGCAACCGCTGGTAGGGGATTTCAGAGTCGATCTCGATCAAGCTCAGAGCCGATCGTCGTCGCAGTCATCGCGCTGTGACCGAGAATTCATTCACTGTACACTAACTGTTACCGCAAGCAACAGCACGCAGTGAGATCACGGTTCGAAACAAGGGGGTTTCGTTCAAACGTTCGCGTTACCGATCCTTCGACTCTGCATCGTGGAAACTCGCTTCTCTAGCGTGTCTTCTCTCGTGTCGAGCGACTCTCTGTCTTTCGGATTTCGCGCAGTGAACCGACGCTGATCATCCTTCCCTCTTCGACGAGGAGAACGTTGCGTCATTCTTCCAAACAGCTGACGATGATTCGTTCGGTCGATTCGATCGTCGGCTGGTTTCACGATTTCCTTGAAATCTCACCGGGGAATTCGCATTCCTCTCGACGAGGATCCCGCTTCATTTAGCAATCGGGGAAATATCGGCGAGTCAACCGATCTATCGACGACGTGACAACTGTTGCCTGTCCTGGTCGCGTCTTCTGAACAAAAGTTGTCACGCGCCTCGAAACGTGTATCTTGGTCTCATCTTGGTTTCGTCTTGGCAGCAACCTATCGTTGAAAAATTCGAGAAAAACTTCGTTCTCCAGGGGAGAGATCAAATCTCCGGCGACGTATTTTATTACAGACTGAGAAATCAAATCTCTGTGCTTTCCAAAATGTGTTTCGGGAATGTTCACTCTTTGAATTGTCGATGAAGAGGAATTTCCCGCATAGACGAGACCGAGCAAGTGGCGAGCGCGAAAATTTTCGCGACGTCCTCGAGCCTCGAGAAAGAACCGATCGTACCGGCGGACGCGAAGTCACTGACGCCCGGCGTGACTGAGGCCCAGCGTAAGAGGCCCACTGACACTAACACACGCTTGCAACTAGTTGTATCGTACGATTCGTACCTTCTACTACACGCAGCCCTGTCAGTGGCCGTACTACCAGCAGCGCTTGGCGAACTTGGCTCTCCTCCTCGGGTGGAACTGCCACGGCTAAACAGAATAACGTGGCTGTGCCGCGGCCGACCTACCGAGAGAGGGACCCGAGCTTATTCAATAGGGGTCCTATTGTGTCGAGGCTGGAGCTGTTGAGCGCCTCCGACAGAAGCGAGAACCGCCCTTAATAGTTTCTCTGGAAACGTAATCGGGCGTGGTAAGTGAAGTTGCTGCGTGCGTACGCGTCTCTGGTTACGAGTATCGATAGTTTGACAGGGTACATGCGAGCCGATGGCGTTCGTTGCCGGTGAATTAGCGTGACAGAAACGAGTACCGAGGATCGGTTTGCGTACACTGCCGTACAAAAAGTGCAAATGGAATACCTTTGCTCGACTCTCGCGAAAACACATAAATTGCTTGATAAATCGGAAATGAAATTTGTACCGTGTTAAATGAGATGTTTCATCGATGATTGGATAAAATATTTTAGTGAGAATAATCTTACGTCTGCAAATGTATTTGTATTTTGCGTTGTATAAGATATCTTTGATAAGTTTGAATTGTCTATCCTATTCATGCTATTAATTACTTGTACATATTTGTTTGTACTATTATTTAATTATTTATATTGTTAAATACATATTTTACCAATAGTTCACTAAATACCTTACTGACAATGATAAAAAATAGTCTTTCTAGTCATTCTTCCTTTCTTGAGATTATTTTCTACAAATTTGATACGTTCGACTTTGTGAACGTCGCTTAATTCCTTGTAGTATCGAGTCATTTAATTCCTTATACGAATTAATGGTTCCGGCTTGAAAGGAGAAGCAATTTCGAATTTTAAATATAGTGAGTTCCAAACTGAGGATTAATAAGTTACATACAACGTGTCAATGCTTTGTATCTGATGTAATGTAACGAATTGCAACAATTAACACTAAAATTTGTACATAGTGGCACACAATAACATATCGACGTAAATGTAACAAATGCAAAAAGGCGAAAATTTATTTCGAATGTGTTGAAAAATTTGAATAACAAATTTCCGTCGATTTAATACCATTATATGTGTGTGTACCTACATACTTTATATACATGTGCGTATGTATAAGAATTTTTTAACAAACATTGAAGAATATACATCCCATGAAAGTGTCTACGTAAATACTTTTGAGCAGCAATGTATATGCGACGTTCGATGTGCCTGATTTGGTTGATTTTTAAGTTAAAAATCGATGGTTTTATTAATGTCGCGTGGGGTCTGTCAACGTGATTATTGAGAGGAGTGGATTACATATGAGATATGTTTTTTGTTCTCGCGTGTTGTTTTGCACGTGTGCATAACATGCCGGTTGATCGGTACCGTTAGCGTTCCTATGATTTCTACTAGACTTCCTACGATACTTTAGACAAGTTGCGTAAGTAGATTCAATGCTGAATTTAAGCGATATCTGTTACGTAAGTTTTTAAAAGTAATTTTAGTATGCAAAGTCTGTCGTAACAGATATTTGTTGTTCACGATTATCTTTTTTTTAGCATTGATTGATGTTGGGTCGATTAACCCTCTGGCTGGATTTCACTCAATATAAGTATACGTACATACATGTATTTGTTTTCCTATGTATTCGAAAGGGAATTTTTATACTAGATTTATCTTTCGTTGAATGGTTTAGCTTTTTTAAGTTGTTTCAATTGAAGAAGAGAATGTTTAAAAACATTGATATTACTATATACATTTTATAATATAAAATATAATATAATCTGATATAAATAATATAATATTTTATAAAATATCGTTCCCCCATCATCGCCATTCAAATATAGTCAGTCAAATTTCAAATATTAATATGCTAGTTTAGACCAATCCTAAAATATTGATGATGTTTTTGTACATTGTTGATTTAAGAAGCCTAGATCTTGCGAAAATCTGTAATCTATAGATATCTATATAATTGGTAAAGTAAAAAGATATTCTGATTATAATTGTAATAATAGTAATAACACATCTTGTATATTTTTAATTGCATCAGTAATTAATTGTATTAATTGTATTAATTAATACAATTAATATATTATAAATAATTTTTAATTGTAGATTTTGCCATGCATCGTGTGTTCTTCACCATACATACCATATTCCAACCTACACCTATTAATATTTCACACAAATCCCCCATCGTTCGAGGATGCACTCCTGCCACATTCTACGATTCCCCATATTTTAATTTATTTTAATTGGAATCCCATACTGGTTGTAACAACTCTGCATCCTTAACGATCTAACTGTGCCTTAAAAAGCAATCTCACTAGCAAATACATACGTATGTATGTATATATATATATATACAGGCGAAGAGCAGTGAGCCGGCTCTCTTTCTCTCTTTCTCTCTCTCTCTCAGTCCCTATAAAAGATCGTACAAAGTAAAACTTTACGTTCACCCGTAAACTCGTACCCGTAATACCTTTCCTTATACAGTTATCTTCGACACTAAAGGCAAATGATACATACCCGCTCTCGCTCGATGTATGTTTAATTATATCATTTTATTCACCTCGTCTCCCTTGCTCGACGATGCACACTGCTGACAATAAAAATCACGGATGGAACGGCGGATGGTTCCTGGGAAGCTTGGAAAGTGGAACGACCTTGAGTTTCATTGTCGGACTCTCTCATCTCCCCGCGAGAGAACAACGCACGTTGCATCACGTCTAAGTGATACGAGTTTTCGCACGATCGTTGCGCGTTATGTCTCCATTTTTTTTTTTCTTTTTTTGCTTCTTTTTCATCATCTTCTTCGCTTCATTGCTGCTCTTTACAGTTCTCTGCTTCTTCTTTTCTTGCTTCATTTAATTTTTTAGGTTCTTGCAATTACAGCGTCAGCGACGTTAAATATGTTAACGTTGGTGAAAAAGTTGAAACAGTTTGAACCAGGTTGTTCATCTTGATCTCTGAGAATCTTACAAACAACTTGGATAATAATATTGGTATTAGTATTAGTAATATTTGACATGTTTTACATATTGCCTTTGTCTGACCAAATTCTGAGTCTAGTTAAAATAATTTAAGCTCTTCTATTTAACGACCAAATTCTATCTCTTCTTGGAAACCTTATTTCGGACTTTATATGTCATTCTGTTCCTCTCTTACAGTTTTTTAACCCCATAAGGTGCACCTCTGTTAATTTTAAATTTGTCGCATCTTGCAAATGTTACATATACGTTACTCCTATCTATTTCTTTCATTGGATTCAAGATGTATACTGAATATTCTTCGGTTATTTGTTCGGTAATAGAGTTATTATGAATTGACTCTTGGAATCAGTAATTATTGTAATCCCGCTGTAACTTAATTTACGTTTATGTAGTGTTAGTATCCCATAAGATTACGCTGATGATTTTCGTTTTCTTACGGTGGTTTTCTTCCCTCCTCCCATCATGGGGAATCACACAGTCTCCTTTGTTCGTCGATTGCGCGGCGTCGTGACGTGTTACGGCGACGTATACGGTACAAGCGAGAGATCGTTGCCACATCGAGAAACGAGATATATCTCTGCTGGTGTCGTCGTGCGTGTACGGTACGTACCACTTCTTTCCTCGCTTGACAGAGAGGGAGGAAATTGTGTTACCACGGAGCACACAGCCAGATAAGAATAACAGTTGTGTAACAGGAACGCATTAGAGGACTGTTGTCACATCCACGCGAATTTATGAATTCTTTGATTGAACTTGCGTATTGTTGTGGAGCCCGGTTCAAACGTAATCTCCCTTGGACGTGCGTTTATAACAATAGGGTGTATTTAAAGGTCCGTGGTGGACTCGGCAGATCGTTGCCGAAGATTATTTTCCGCGAATCAAAGTACGCACGCGACGAAACGTAGTGTCCTTCTCGGTTGCAAAAGGTTTCAACAAGGATTTCATTTTCTGTCGGCTTTTGACGATTTTCAGAGGTGACATCATTTGACGCAGGTTACACGTTTCCGAGCACCAAATTTGGTTAGTGTCTGTGTCCCGCGTTCAACGCGCGTTTCACTTGTAATTTTTTTTCACTTCTGCTTTAGTTTTTTAGTTTTTTTTTTTTTTTTTTTTTTTTTTTTTTTTTTTTTTTTTTTTTTTTTTTTTTTTGATTGCACGAGAAATAATTGATACCGATCTACGAGATTTTACATTTTCTGGTTTATTTTATTTTTATTTTTTTATTTTTTTATTTATTTTTTTTATTTTTTTGATTGCACGAGGAGTGAATCTTAATTGGTACCATCGTTGGGACATTGAGATGAGTAGCAATTTAGGGTTGAATTTTGTAGTTCTTAACTTAATTTTGTTCGTAATCTGTGTAATTAATTGTTGGTTGTATTGAATTAGTGTTTGTTACACGAAGTTCAATTTTTAATTGATACCGATCTATGAGATTTTATTTTCTTTTTTATTTTATTTTATTTTATTTTATTTTTTTTTTTGATTGCGCGAGGAGTGAATCTTAATTGGTACCATCGTTGGGACATTGAGATGAGTAGCAATTTAGGGTTGAATTTTGTAGTTCTTAACATAATTTTGTTCGTAATCTGTGTAATTAATTGTTGGTTGTATTGAATTAGTGTTTGTTACACGAAGTTTAATTTTTAATTGATACCGATCTATGAGATTTTACATTTTCTTTTTTATTTTATTTTATTTTATTTTTTTTTTTTTTGATTGCGCGAGGAGTAAATCTTAATTGGTACCATCGTTGGAACATTGAGATGAGTAGTAATTCAGGGTTGAATTCTGTAGTTCTCAATTTAATTTTGTTCGTTATCTGTGTAATTAATTGTTGGTTGAATTGAATTAATATTTGTTACACGAAATTTAATTCTTAATTGGTATCGTTGGTCTAATTTCAGAGGAAATAGAATGTAGAATCGAATACCCAAAACTGTAGTTAAATTTAATT